TCGGAAGAGGAAGTTATAGCTTATCTTTTGTTTGGAAGAATATAAAAAGGATAAAGAAGTGATTAGGTAATTCCTTGAGCCAACTAAAATTTAGGGCACCTCATGTTTAGGGACTTACATATACGATCCCAAACAGAACACTTCACCCGTTTGTTAGTTATTATTTGCACCTTCATTTTTTCCATAGCCTCCACAGAAGCTAGTTTATGCCCATATAATTCTCTTGTTCTACAAAGAAAGAACTCAATGAGATAGATAGATACACTGCTGAAAACTCATCTCATTTCGCTCCTTGCAGTGAAACATCTATCTATTTATATTGCCCTTCCCTCTAATAAAAACATACTACTCTGTATTATGATTGTAGTTGGCATCCAAAGTTATTTTTGAGTAATAAATATCATTTTTCTCTTTTAATCAGATTAGAATACTGATAATCAGTTGGTCAAGATGCTTCTCATTAATCCATACAGCATACTATTACATATCTAGACAGGTCAAATGTCAGATGACCAAGGGAAAGGTATAGGTACATCTATGATTTTGCTAGTGTTGCTCTTTTTTTTTTTTCTGTTCTTTTTTCTTAATAAAGGAAGTTTCTGTTAGTTTTTTACGTTCTACAATGAAAAGATATAATGTAGAGTCATGGAGCTTAACCAACTAAAAAACAACACCGCCAAGTTGCTAAATATACGGAAGTAGCATCCAGTGTAGAATTAAATAGATTTATAGACGGTTGAGTGAAGCTTTATTTTGGGATTAAGGGTCATAATCGAGAACCAATTGGCATTAATAAAAAACCAAAGAGTGTGTGTGTGTCAAAAAAAAAAAAAAGGAAGAAGAAGAGAACTTACAGTAAGGTAATCCTCATTTCGGTTCCAAACGACCATCTTTGGCAATTTTGTCTTTTTATTGGCTCCAAATGTATCAGCAAAATCGTCCCACTGTTTAACACCAACATAACCAAATACTAGGTCATGATTTGCAGATGCAGCAGACTTCAAAATCTTGATAAGTTTCTTAGACTTCTCATCATCCTCATCCTCCACAATTGTTAGAACAATTTTCCTTTCATCATCTCCTAATGATTTCAACGTGTCATAGGTTATGGGCAGAGCTAGAGGAAACAGATTTTGCTTTATAAAATCTTCCAAAAACTCATCTGCACATTTAAGAGGCAAAGTTAACACAACATGTCTTCCCTTTTACAGAGAAAATGAAAAATTTATTGGTGATGATTAGTGAAGAAAATGAAAGAAGGATTTCAAATACGTATTAGACACGAAAATATTTTCATACAAACTATAAGGAATTTGAAGTTTGTACTTAACTTATACATAGGAAAATATCTAAGGTATTAAAGTGTTTGGTAAACTAGCTGACTCAAATTTCTGTAAGTTATAAAGTAAAGTTGAATAAGCTCAATCTTGAAAACGAACCTTCAAATGGGCCATAAAAAATGCTTTGCTCATTGTAACTTGGATGAATGACCACCAAAGCAGGAACCTTGTCAAAATCATACTTAACCATCACGTCCTCGGAGAAATCCTTTGCAACTGAAAACCATGCCTTCTTCTTATATTTTATTGCCGAATTCGACACCACTGATTCATTCACGCCGAAACCAATATATATAGGAAAGTAAGTTCCAGCTGCCTCAACAAAGTTTTTGATAGCAGAGTCGGAATCAAGTATGGAAACACCAGGAGCCACAAATTTCTTTAGATAACGAACAAGTAAGTCCGCTTTCCTTGGTCCACTATAGTCCATTGGGACACCATGCATAAAGAGCTTCAGGGTAGGATATGCACTATTTCAAAGAAATTTCAGTATTAAATTAGGATTTGGCTGTTTACACGCTTCCTAGCAAATGAAATTCGAAATAACATCCAGGTATTCGGAATAATATAGGCACAGATAAGTTCATCCGCAAATCACTGGATAAATCTAATTAAGTCAAAGGTAAAGTCACAAGCAAAGACAATGTGGAAACAAACTAACGACTAAATAGAGATGAAAAAGAGGACATACTCAACGTCATATTTACTAGCTAGTCGGGTAAACTTGTCTGCATTTACTTTTGCTATCACTATCGGCTCCTTTAAAGCAGCAAGTGCAGGGGCAGCTAAATCCAACTGCAATACAAGAGTTACAATTGCCATCATTTGCAACTGTACAAACGAGCTCTGAATTAAGCAAGTATTATCAACAAGTACACCCTCTCAAAAGGGGGCTGTTCTAATATGCCGGGAGAAGACTTTGCAGCACCAATTTCGATAGTGTGATACAATTGCCAACCTAAAACGTTGGAATTGCAAAATGGAACAATATACTTGAAGCGTTATGACATTGGTGCCATGAATTACTTTATAGAGACAATATACATACAAACTTTGAACCACGTATTTGCAAAACGAAACAATATACTTGCAAACCGGCCTAAAAAAGGAAAAGATGCATTCGTTTCTATATTACATGGATACAATGGTGGATATTTTCTATAACATATATTGAATTTGATTTAGTATTTTTATCAGAAATTGAACCAAAAGTATTGGATCTACAAAGGCAAAAGCGAGATTATTCAAATCAGCAGTGCGAATCATCGTATAATTATCCTATAAACACAAAGCCCGTTTCTCTGAATTCGATCCTTATATTAATAACACGAGGAAAAGAGGGCCCAAAAAAAAAAAAAAGTTGAATCTTGGCTATGCAGAAAACTAAACCTGTGTATGCTTGCGAGTTTCTAATTGAAAAGTCAAATGAATCCAAAAACTTTTTTTTTTTTTTTGCGAAGATTGGTTTCTCTCGGATAAAACTCAGAGAGAGAGAGAGAGAGAGGAATCAGACCTGGGGAGAAAGACGTTTGCAGTGGCCGCACCAAGGGGCGTAAAAATCGACCAAGATGTAATCAAAGGCGGAAATGGCTGATTCGAAATTGGAGTCGTCAAGCTCCAACACTTTCCCGTCCACCGCCCACTGTTCTGCCTGCGCTCCGCCGCTGAATTGGAATAACACCGCCACTGTACATATACACCACCACGCTGACACCCTCTTCATCGTCTGACGTCTCTCTCTCGGTATGTTTTTCTGTTTTCGTTGTTTCTCGCCATTTTAAGTAGTTTCTTTTTTTTCCTTTGGTTTAATTACATTTTCACCCCCTTCAACTTTAGGAGATGTTTGGTTCATGAATTAAAATTATGTGATTAGAATTATTTTCAATTTATGTGTATATTTTATGAAAAATATATTATAGCGAATCATGAACTATAATCAAATCATGGTTTGAATCCTCCAACCAAACATCCCTATTTTTTAAAAAAAACATCTTGAACCATAATCAAATCATGGTTTGAATCTTCCAACCAAACATCCCTATTTTTTTTAAAAAACATCTTTCACTATATATATATATATATATACACACACGTATATTTTAGAACTTTTATGGCTGACAACGAACTTTCGATTTTAACTATTAGATTAATTTTTTTAATGGTAAAATTTATGCATGTTTATTAGGGGTATAATTTGGTTGGGTAGACTCAGGTTAGGCTGAAAAATTGGGCCGAGCCGCATTGTGCGAGTTGAGAAAATTTTGGGCTGCAACAACCTCATAAACCCACAAACCCGTAACCTGTCGGGTGACCTCAGGTAAACTCGGGTTACTCGGGTTGGCAGGCTTGGGCCTTGGACATTGGGCTTGTCTAATTTTTTTCCTAAATTCACATGTTATCATGTGAATCTTTTACTAAATTCACATGCCACGTGAATCGTAACACGGGAGGAGATAGAGAATCTAGGCTGCGTCACTTGATAAAAAAATTTTAAATCATTCACCTTCAACAAGCCTAAATGAAAGCTCATCTACAATCATCATTTTTGCTAACGCTTTTCTACGATGCTCATTGTTAAAGTCTATAGCAACAAGATTACTGACAGTTTCAGTGTTGGTTTAGAAACTCATAATTTTTTGCTTTTTGTCTTGGATCCCATATAGGTATTTCTTGCATTATTTTTCTATGTGAACCTTCATACTACTGGTGTTATGTCTCCTACTATCACACACATATGTTGCCCCATAATGGATACACTTACACCTACGATCATCTGGATCCTCACCCTTTATGATTTTGAAATGATTCCAAACAAGAGACTTTTTTGTGATTTCTTCCGCTTTTTACTGTCTTCCTCATCTTTTTCGTTTTCAATTTCAGTGCCCAAAATATGTACAAGGGTAGGGCTGGGTGTGGAAGTGGGCAAGGTAATGGGTTTTTTAGGCACAGCGACAGAGGTTGGATTTTTAGTCTGGCATTGGTCACTTTATGTTTCAACAAAGGACTTACAAGTGCTTTCAGAAGTTTATGTCGGGTGGATGATAAATTTTTCCATCTAGCACACAAATTAACCTAAAAAACAAATAACATATGATTGAGACTAAGCATAGAGATTAACCTAAAATCAGTTTATCTCAGTTCTCATGAAAACATAATATTTCTCAGTTCTCAGTTATCACAAAACAAACAAAAAACAAAAAATAAAAAAATTAACCTTTCTATTTCGGCCTTGCCTTCTTCTTAACCTTTTTCGGGTATAGACTATAGACTGAAAATGCCTCTTCAATCTTTACTCTTCTTCCTCGGCTGGAAACAAAAAACCAAAAACCAATATAAAACGATAGTCAAGATTTTGAAAATAATAAACTAGTACCATATTATTAAAGCTTAGATAGCAGAGAAAATAAATACAAAATTACACTACTAAAAGGCAAAACTCCTCATAATCCCCAAGTTTGCAAACCCCAAATTAAAATCAATCTTTCTTCAAAAATCCCCTTTTGTCAAGAAAAACCTCTTTTTGTCCCCATTCAATGGCTGGTAATGATTCTGAAGTGCAGTATACTATACAGTCAGTAATCTTTTTCAACATATTATTTGATTTGTAATAATATTTTTTCCTTTATTTTTGTAATATAATCAATATGACATAATAAACATTCATAGCCCTGTAAACACATGAAAGGAAAAAAAAAAAACTCTTCAATCAGAAAAAAAAAACAACCCTGTAAACATCCATACAAATAGATGAAAACACACAGCCCCAATTAAAAGGGACCAACCCCAATTCAGAAATCAGAAAAAAAGAAAGCAAAAAGAAGTTCTCAATGAAGAAAACCAAGTTCAGCAATCAGGCAAAAGAAAGGAAAAAAAACTCTTCAATCAAAAAATTAAGAATCAACATAATTTACCGAACATATACAACCTAAATTCTCATGTTACAACTTACAACAAAGAAAACTCGCGAAAACAACCTCGAATCTGACAAAAACTAATTACCAAACAACCTGAATATGGAGGTCTCAGTGAGAATTTGGGGAAGATTTGGAAGGATCGTCACGAACGGAGTCGGTGCTTTCTTCTTAATAGAAAAACCTGAAAATAAAACCACAGTTCACAAGTTAGTTCAGTAAACAGTGCATAGTTCAAAATCAAAATCAAATCAGTTTAGAGTCTTACCGATTGTCGTTAATGAAGATTTCAAATAATCTGTTCAAATAAGAGGAACGAAGAAGAAGAAGAGGAATGGAGATTGAGGAATGGCGAGTATGAGGAACGTTGAGAGACTGAGAAGAAGAAGAGGAATGGAGAATGAGGAATGACGGTCGACGAGTGTGAGGAACAGCGTGAGAAGTGAGAAAAGGAACTGAGAAGGAGGCGAGGGAGGCGAGAATGCGAGACTGAGGGAGGCAAGATCGAGAGTGCGAGACTGAGGGATAGAGGAAGGCGTGAAGTGATTAGGAGGAGGCGAGGGAGGTGCGAATTTGGGAAATTAGGGTTATAGACTTAAGAATACCCAGGTAGAAACAGCCGGGTCGGGGCATAGCGGGTTAAAGACTGCCCACCCCGTGGCCCAACCCGCAATGTGCGGGTTGGGCCTATTTGAATCCGATTTTTAAATATATATATAACCCTATATTTTCGGGTCGGATCGGGTCGGGTCGGACTGGTTAGTCGTGTTCGGGCTCAATTCTTACATCCCTAATGTTTACATTAAAAATTTACAACGTGCGGTATAAAATTATTTCTACTACACATTAAAAAATTTGTTCTACAATTAAAACACAGTTCCTATACATGTAGCAAAATAACTCTCTCCACTATAAATGGACCCCTTTTTTTTAGAAAAAATGGATCTCATTAATTAATAGAGGCTTCAGTCTTAAAAAAAAAAAAGATGATATGATATTTTTCAAGGAAATCAAAGCTTTACAATATATACTTACTATGAAAGTATACTGAACCCAAAGCATGGCAATGGAGGAGAGTACCATTAAAGAACAGCAATCCTAAAATTTGAAGGATTGAAAACTTCACGAACAGTGACATTTTTCTTTCTCTTGATGAGAAAAAAAACGTAACCTCTTCTCCTAGCTAGATATAACTAATATTGCTCATTGATAGAGCTAATAACTTGTCCATACATACAGTCAAGAGTCAAAAAGACAATATAAGGTATGCGTGTTCAAACCTCTTAGAGTTTATTTGGAAGATATATTTAAATTATAATTCTTAATTCTAACGTTTTTTGTGAAAAAAAAATACTGTAATAGAATCAATGAGTTGAATTTGAGTATATGAAACAAACGGGCCATTAAAATTTATTTCTATATAAATTCTAATACACTAATGCCAACAAAATACAGGACTAGTTAAAGTACCAATTTTGTAACCTTTTTTTTTTTTTTTTTTTTCATAAGAGTGGGAGGATTTGAACTTACAATTTCAATAATGGTAAATTGTGTGGTTACCGGTACGCTAAGCTTGTAACATTTGTGCACGCGTTTTCTCCGTAATTTTCGACGTGAAATGTAAATCTTAGGGCTTGTTCTCTTGAGTGAAAAATTCAAAAAAATGTAACTCGAGTTACAACTTTATTCGAGTTCACGTTCTTTTAAGTTTAAGCTCGAGTTTAAACTCGAGTTCAAACTCGAGTTTAGGACTAAAACTCGAGTTCAAGTTTTCCCTTCAACTCGAGTTCAGAAACTCGAACTCAATTTAATGAACAATATTTTTTCTATTCTTAAAAATGTTATAACTTTTTCGTTTTAATTTTGATTGAGATGATTTTTTTTCTATACATTGATAACAAAAAGAAGAATAAAACTCAACCCATATACCCTATTAAAATTTTTCATCAGCATTGAGTTTTTATTAAAATACTATCTAAATACAAATTCAAGTTTTGACTCACTCAAACACAAACTCAAAAAGAGTATTATCTCAAACCATAACTCAAATGTACACAATCAAACATAAACTCAAGTTACAAGTTCAACTCAAGTTATAACTCAAATTCAACTCAAGAATTATACTCAAGTTAAACTCTAAAAGAACAAGCCCTTAATTACTACACAATTTTAATGAAGAACAACTTTAAGCTGTGAAAAGTTGTTTAACTACCCATTTCATTAAAAAGAAAAAATGTGATCATAGTTAATCTAATTGAGAATAATGTCAAAGCAAAATTATCACAACGAAATTGCTATTTGAGTACTTCCTACATGTGCCAAGAAATTGCTAGATGACGCCTAGTGAAACCAAAGAAACGTTGGTTACCATCATTAAATGAATGAAAACAATACATACTTTGTTATTGTGTATTTCGTTTGTCAAAACATATACAAGTTGCAACTACAATGTCTCCTGGCTTTAATTAAATATTATTATTGGTAAACCACTTCAACGATTAGGGAAAATGCTTTACTTCATGGTCTTCCTTTTGATACTTGGGGTTTACATAATCTCTATTATTTCTCTCTCTCTTTTTTCCCCTATATATATATATAATTCATTTGCTATTTTCTAGAGAAAAAGAGTATGATGTTCCGCTGAACACTACTATATCGCATGTCATATAAATTAGTGCAATGATTATAAGTCTTGATAAACTCAATAATCTAGTTGTTTTTAACCGCTTGAGTTAATATATATATATATATATATATATATACATATATACATATATATATATATATAAATATTCATTCATCATGTGTCTCTGCATATTTCAGCTGATTAATCTACTTTGTAGTGAATGATCCTCCGTTCCAGCTGAACAATTTCTTTTGTGTTGTTTTGAGTATGAACAACTAATTAATTAAGGTTAACGGCATTAGTACTAGCTAGTATTAATTGATGATGAAAACTTCTGTTCTAATGTTAATCAGTAATTACGATAAATTCTTCTCTTAGCTATTTCCTTATTATTCTGATCACATTTCCGTTAAAAACATCTTTAAATTTATATGCATTATGGGGAAATAAATAATCTGTCTCATTCATTGGGTCCCAATCAGACTTGTCGCTGCAAAAATATATACACGTGCAAGCTTCATTGGACTTTTTTACTTTATTTACAGGAGAAAATATCTATATACAGAGGCTTATTAGAAAAAAAATGAATTCGAAGGGGCCATATATATGGAAGATTTCAGACAATTATACTACAAGAAATTACATTTTATTCGGCCCACCCCGTTTTGTCTCCGCGTATATATTCGGCCCTATGCAGCCTCGAAATAGTTAAAACCGCCCCAACAACCATTTCGACCTTATCTTTCTTATGAGTCTTGACACGCAAAGGCTGTGCCAACGCTCTGGTTAAAACACTCAGGATGTGTTTAGTTGGTATATTCGTGTTATAATTTGAATTATAGTTTGTGATTTATTATAGTATTTTTTTTTCATAAAAATTACACGTAAATTAAAAATAATTCTGAATCATGATTCTGAATTTATGAACTAAACGTCCACTTATTAATTTTTTTTCTCGCTCCTTAAAGGATAAAGAAAACCCTTGCATTATCTCTTCTCCCTATGAGTTCGGATTCTTCTATGTACTATATGCACTACAAGAAAATTGATCTTTTGCTACTAAAAATCTTACTATTAAAATTATGTTGATACAAAATCATCCCTTTCAACTACCAAACTTTGGTAGCTGAATGTCTATGCGTTTCTGCTACAAAATTTGGTAGCCAAAAGTAATGATTTTGCTACCAAAAATTTTTGATAACAAAAGATTTTGGCTACTTAATTAATGAGTGGAAAAATTTTAGCAAAAATTTGGTTTTAGCTACTTAATTTTTTGGTAGCAAAAGATTTTAGCTATTAAATGTTTTGATAGTAAAAAAATTTTTATACCAAATTTTCGGTAGCAAATTCATAACTTTTAGCTATCAAAACAGTTCTATCAAATTTTGGTAGCGAAAAGACGTGTCAAGATCCATTTTTTGAGACTAAGTTACTTTTAGCTACCAAAATTTGGTAGTAAAAACTTTTTGCTACCAAAATATCTTTGGTAGTTAAACTTTCCGCGAACATTTTTCTGCTACCAAAATCTTTTGATAGTGAAATCCTTCAGCTACCAAAAACAGGTATTTCTGCCGCCAATTCTTGGTAGCTAAAATTTATTTTTCTTGTAGTGATGAGATTTTTTTTATTTATTTATTAAAGAATGTTGAATTGGCTCGATGCTTCTTTGCATTATTCTTCTCAACTGAGTCATGAATTGAAATAAAAACATAAATAATTGATTCAAAGGCTGCGTCTAAGTATTAGGTAGATTGTAAAAGGTTATTACTACTGATTCCAAAAAGAAAAGGACCTATGGTAAGGGAATTGTTGCAATGCTAATCTAGTGCTAATTATAGTTAATTCAATATTCGATTTTTGTTTTCTCCAATAAAGATATTAAAGAAAGTTTCATTCACATAATTCATTTGTTGATTTTGGGAGATCATGAACTCTCTTTTTTGTCGGACGTACTTTTTCCTTTCGCCGGTTTTGATCATTTAAGGGGTTTTAACGAGGCATCTCCTATCCTTTGAGTGAAAGAGTATATCTTTTATCTCAGAAATCTCAATCAATATATGACAACTTTGTTAATTTTTTCTTTTTGTCTATTTTGTAATTTTTTTGATACCAAAATATCTTTGGTAGTTAAACTTTCCGCAACCATTTTTCTGCTACCAAAATCTTTTGATAGCGAAAACCTTCAGCTACCAAAAACAGGTATTTCTGCTACCAATTCTTTGGTAGCTAAAATTTATTTTTCTTATAGTGATGAGATTTTATTTATTTATTTATTTATTAAAGAATGTTGAATTGGCTCGATCCTTCTTTGCATTATTCTTCTCAACTGAGTCATGAATTGAAATAAAAACATGAATAATTGATTCAAAAGGCTGCGTCTAAGTATTAGGTAGATTGTAAAAAGTTATTACTACTGATTCCAAAAAGAAAAGGACCTATGGTAAGGGAATTAAGTTGCAATGCTAATCTAGTGCTAATTATAGTTAATTCAAGATTCGATTTTTGTTTTCTCCAATAAAGATGTTAAAGAAAGTTTCATTCACATAATTCATTTGTTGATTTTGGGAGATCATGAACTCTTTTTTTTTTTTTTTTTTTTTTTGTCGGATGTGCTTTTTCCTTTTGCCGGTTTTGATCATTTTAGGGGTTTTAACGAGGCATCTCCCAGGGCCTGTTTAATTCGTTGATTCGAGTTTTTAATTTGAGTTGAAATATGACTTTATGTGAGAGTTTTTTATTATAGTAAAAAAGTTAGATGTGACTATTTCTGATAGCTTTTTACTGTAGTAAAACTTGAATTTTAAACTCAAATCGATGAAATGAACGGGACCATATCTTTTATCTCAGAAATCTAAATCAGTATATGGTAACTTTGTTAATTTTTTCTTTTAGTCTAATTTGTAATTTTTTTTAGGCTTTGTTTATTTTATGTTTGTTGGCCTTCTAGCTAGTTCACTTTTTTTATTATTTAAACGTTGTAATTTCTTTTTTATTGGAAAAATTGAGTGCGGGCTAGTATGGGATGAGAATTTGACGGTGCCAATATGATTATGATGTGATAAACTTCTTGATAGTAAGTTTTTCCAATTTTTTCTTTTGGTGACCAAAAATGGGACCATCTCCCATTCTACAGTCAAAATATATATTTTTCACATGTGTACTTCAAACTTCCAATATATCAAATACTTCAATTTGCCGTATATAATTTATTTCACACAAAAGCCGTTAAGTTTTAACATTAATAATTTTCTTTGAATAGGAAAATATATATATAACTAGTCAGCAAACTCTTGATCAATCAAGAATACATAAACTTTCACTTGTCAACTGAGATGTGATCATTGAATGCTGGCTAGTCTTTTCTCTTTTTTTTTTTTGTCAAATAATTAATTGATAAACAAATTTATACCACTTGTCTTTTCTATATATATATATATATATAATGAAAATTTTTAACATGACGGCATGTCTGACGGACGAGGTAGCAACTTTGCTTTAGGATCATTCTTTCTGTTCTTAACAACGAACACAGTTTCCATTCCCCATGTAAGATGACGCTCCAAATGACAGTGCATAAACCATACACCTAAAAATATTAGAACAATATATATCATTAATTTGCTACCACGTAGTACTTGTTCTTGACTTAAAAATTTAGAAGTTTTGTAATTTGGTATGTGTATTCTCGTTTGGGAGGAATTATTCAGTACACTGGGTGTACTACGTCATATTGCTTATGTGGTACACTCGTCCAATGAGATTGTACCATTTAGACATTTTGTCTAATTCATTAAAATAAAAAAATTGAGTAGAATAATAAGTGCTTTTGACTCAATAATCAATACAAATACCTATTAGGAAAGAGAAAAATAAAAGTAAAAAACTGACATAATGTCCAAATGGTACAATCTCATTAGACGGGTGTATCGCATAAGCAATATGACGTGGTACACGCGGTGTACTGAATAATTCCTCCTCATTTAGTATATGTCACGCGTCACCTAAGCCCCTATCAAATATTTTAGCAGTGAGGATACACGTAGTCCCCAAGTATTTTCAATCTAGTACTAGGATGGTAGAGTAAACTTTCACATTTACGACCCTCAAAAAGAGCCAATCAGCACTTAAATCTTTGACGATAGATGCACCATAATAATCTATTATTGCTAGACCACACCACTGGTATGTGGTATTCTCAATTGTAGATTGAAATTAAATCAAAGTGGTTAGTTGTCTATTTTTAAATTCAAAGATCAAAATACCAATATAGTAGCATATTAAAGACCTAAAAAAAATACAAACTTGCAATATATATTTAATGTAATGACTAGTAGTCGCTAATGAAATCATGGAGTTAATTACCTGGATTAGTGGCAGTGAATCTTATTGTGGTCCAGCCATTTTTAGGCACAATCACAGTGTTCAACATGGGAGGATCAACTAGATTATAGCTCAATTTGTCCCTTTCCTCGTGAAAATTGCCAAATCCATATCCAACGACGTAAAAACTGTAACCATGAAGATGCATGGGATGATCTATACCGGCAACCAAATTTGTTCCTTGGAAAACAACTTCCACTGTCGACCCATAATCCAAAATCTTAACTTTAGTCCCTCTCTTTGGTAGTTCTAGTTCTAGTGGCAAATACTCAGATGTAAAATTAAACAAAAATGGTGGAACACTTGGAAAATCTTTTTGAAAAACCCCATTAATACGATAGTAGTAAGCATCTAATATGCTTAACGATGGTGTCACAAAGCTTATGTTGTTCATGCTAGCGGCCAAACGAGTTCCGTTTGGTCCTTCACATGATGAACTATTTTGTGGGCATGGGAATGTGTTTACTGAAACAGCAGAAATTAATTTTGTTGTTATGTTTAGTGGCACATTTATTGGATGGTCATTATCAGCTAGGCTCCTTAGCCTAGTGATGAAGTTGAAGGCTGATTTTGTGTCGTTGTAATCAGGAAGGTACGGGAATAATAATGTCGGAGTAGTACTTGATTGAGATCGAACGGCGTCGTTTCTCTTGTATTGGAGGATTGCTGTGCTTGTGGTATTGTCAAAAGAAACGTTTGTACCACTTGAATAAGCTCTAGCTGCCATGTAGTAGAGAGTGGAATTGTTTTGGTCGGTGGTCAACAAGGCGTCCATTGTTTGGCCAGGAGATATTGTGATGTATTCCGTCGTCAATTGCTTCGTGTAGCCACCGTCCGATCCGACGACAGTCAGGTTGTGTTTCGCGACGGAGAAAAAGAATATGGTGTTCAGCGCCGCGTTTACAATTCGGAGTAGATAAGTTTTGTTTTGATCCACTAGAAGCTTAAATGTCTCTGCAAGATACAAATTGATCAAGGAAATTTTATCCATTTCCATATGAGAAAATTTTGTGATAGGGTATTTAAAAAAAAAAAAAAGACCATCCTACATAAGGCTGGTAGGATATATATATATATATATAGGATGAACTCTAAACTAAAAAGTACGATATAAACACTGAATAGAATTTGATTAAGATCTAAGATTTCAGTAGTGCTATGTCTTACGTAGCTATTATATATTGGCTATTTTCTATATAGTAGTATCATAGAATTCTTCTCTATATATGCTATCTGTAATACATAACAAAAAGCATTAATATTTTAGTTTCTTCTGAAACTAGCTTGAATTATGTTGGATATAGTTTATATATTTCTTTCCCTTTTGTTTTTCTTTTTTTATTTTCGAAAAATTCTAAATTTTGAATAATGTTTTATAAGTAGCTATATGTAGTACCTGATTTTGAACATTCATACAGATCTCCAGGTTGACCATTTATTGTTAGAGCATCAGAAGTGTTGGGCTCTCCTCCAGTCTTAAGAAATCCCTCTAGTACCCGACTTACATCTTTCTTCCACCACTCTCCTACATTTTCAACAATCCGTAATTTAGAAAGTAAAATAATTATTCACGTGCGTATTTTAAACCCTAAATATATGTTTGATGTTTATGGCTATTAGTTTGTTGAACTACTCTTTCATGTATATTTTCATTCCTTAATTTTAACTTTTTGTAAAGAGTACTATGCTTATATATATATATATATATATTCATCTATACATATGTATATATTATGTAGTTATATATGAATATATATATATATATATAATGGTATATATAGATACAAACCTAATATGATGGGCACTTCTTTGTGAGGGTTGGGGAAGGGATAGTTAGTTCCATTTTTTGGATAAACAATAATAGCTCCATGAACAGTTGCTCTTGACCAGTCACTATGAGCATGCCACCAAATGGTCCCTTCCTCTGTGGAAAATATGATCTTTTGTTTGAATTTTCCTCCGGGTTGGATCGGGCATTGCGTGATGTATTCTGGTCCATCTGACCATGGATTTCTTGGCTGATTCACTCCATGCCTGCCATTGGATTATTTAGAATGTTTTGTGATCTAGTTGAGAAAATTAGTAGAAATTTAATTAATATGGCGATAATTAATTAAAAAAACCTGCATTTGTAGTACCAGTGAATGGTGATATTGTGTCTGCCTTTGTTGTAAACCTTTACAAAGATTTTATCCCCTTGGTGAACCCGTAAAGTTGGTCCTGGAAACTTTCCATTTACCGTCAAGATTTTCTTTGTGCTACAGAGTCTTCTGTATGGAGTTTCTTTAACCTAGAGAGGGGAAAAAAAATAATCATATTTTCCAATGTAAGATGTTTATATATATATATATATATATAATATGTAATATATAAGATGAATGGAAGAGACTCTGATTGGTTATAAATTATATATACATTACTACAAAGTGCAGAAATAAAAATATTGTTCAGTCTTAAAAGGATTATTAAGCATGCATGCGTACGTACAGTTGAAATCTGGATATATCAACTCGTCTTTTATGCAGATAAGGGATTTTAAAAGGGGGATTAAAAATTAATGCATCGATCAATAAAAAAAAAAAAAAAGAAAAGAAAGAAACAAAATAATTCTAAACTGATTTATAGTTTCATCGCCAAATTAAAATAGAAAATATATTGAAGCAATTTCAATCTTAAAAGAGGCAACATGTAGCATTCTTACAACAAAATGATGCTGATGAGTACTTGAATTGGCTTGGCAATATTCCAGGCAAAAGAAGCTGATCAATACTAGAAATAATGATACATTAATCTGAAAGGCGCAGGTAATAATTCTCTTATAATCAAAAGGCATTTTTGTGATCTTAATAGATGAAAATTACTAAATTTCTATTCTTTTTAATGTTCTGAGAGCTTGGCTTGCTACTTATTCTTAGAAACGAACTCGGAATTTATAGGACCAAAAGGAAGAGATTGAGTATAGCCCATGAAATAGCTGGAAATTAGCTTTGAGGTTGGTCTATAAATTTAATTTTTTTTTTTTTTCCTTTCTGAGGATGGTAATATTGGTCTATAAATTAAAGATGGTAATACTATTCTTTTGTGTGGTTGGCTAGTTTTCAGCTTATTTGATGGGGAAAGATATTTCCCAATTAGTATGGAATATTATTCGTTTATATAATATAGCTCTTAGAAGTAACAAGCTCTGAAAGCTATAAGTTTCAAATATATCCTTTACTTTCTTGAACCGCAATTTACAAAACCTCCCAGCTATAGCAACATTTACTTGTTTTCTGAAAACAAACATTTTTTTCTGCCTTTGTTCTTGCTGTTCTTCGGTTGGGCATGGAAAATAAATAAATAAATAAATAAAAGTGCAAATAATTAAATTCTCCTAATTAGATTAGCTTCGGTTAGTGGTGGAACCACATGCATGTCATGAGTGAGGCACGTGCCCCCACTCACTTTTTCGAATTTTAATTTTTTCGTGTAAAAAATTTCGGTCCTGTCATACTAATTTCAAAAGTGTCTTCATTTTTTAAGAAAAATTTTACGTCTTTTGAAGATGGATCAAGGATCAAGACATATAGGCCTAAGAAAGATGTGGCAAGTTCTAATGTTGACCAGCAGGTTGGCACTTGCTAAGATGCCATTAATTTTTTTTTTTTTTTTTAAAGTTAATGCAGTAATTGGTCGTGAAATTGACTCTTGAACAAACCCCATTAATCAGAAACTAATGATAATCCTTTGACAATTCTTCTAGCAATAATGAAGGTCAAATGATATATATATATAATGTGTTTGAGGAATAAGGATTTTAGCGAGTGAATTAGAGAAAAGTATTAATTGTGAGAATATTATAGTCCAGAGACTTGGTGGAAAAAAAAAAAAACACACTTAAAAAATGGGCACATCAGGAAAATTATTTTAATAGGGCAATTAAAAAAAAATTAAGAGCACAACATTCGAATAAAAAATTAGATATAAAAAAATAATAATTCTATCCAATCGGACACTTAAATCAAGGAATATTGTCATCAAACTTTAGTATATTCAACAAAATTGAGACTGACAACAATTAAATGCCCGTTTAGTTCGCTGATTCGAGTTTCTAATTCGAGTTAAGAAGTGATGTTATGTGAGAGTTTTTTACTGTAGCAAAAAACTCGAAGATGTGACTGTTTCTGAGAGCTTTTTACTGTAGCAAAACTCGAATTCTAAACTCGAATCGACGAAGTAAACGGGGCCATAAAACTCTCATCTTATATGGAATCTCCAGACCCCACTGAATATGTTAAATAAAAAAATTTATAGAAACAAAATAAATAAAAAAACAAGATAAACTACCACTCCCGAAAGGCAACACAAAATAAACATGAGAGAAAAACTTACAAACTCAAAATACAAACAAAACATATGAACCAGTTGTACGACAAATATATACTATCCAAACAGACTAGAATACTTAAAAAGAATATAAATACAATGTAAACGTACAAAGTGTCGGACCATATAAAAGTTAATTGGTTGATGAATTATGAATGCATTTATACATCACAATATAGTATGGGGCAATAATGTGAAAGTTTCCTAGTGCAGTAATTAATAGCCCCACGCCATACTTAGCAATGATAAATAGACTTGAATATTGCTCTCAATATATTCTTCAACATAAAAAAAGGCACTAGCTAGCATCCGTTTGTTAACCGTCTGTTGGGTTACATATGGTAACCTAGAAGATTAAGCGCTTTACTTACTGGAATCTTTGTGACAAATAATTGATATAAAGGTCTTTTATTGTCAACCCTGACTTTGGTAATTCTAGAATGATCTACGATACTTTGGTTGAAAAGGGAAAAAAGGATGATCTACGAATATATTCCCCTAAGTTTTGTAGACTTTTTCTTTGTTCTTTGGCTGTTGAAGGAGGGACGTTTAGGGAATTTTGATTAGTGAAATTATTTTTTATTATACTTTTTGTCGGTTAATTTCTACTTTTTAGGTCTTGTTTCGGGAACCAAATATGTATTCATGTGCCTATCTATATGTGCAATGTAAGCCACTATACCTAATATACCTACATAAAATAGGAATGAGAAACGTTGAATCATACCAAACCTCTGTCGCTAGTACCACTAATAACATATTCCAAAACAAAAAACAAAAAAACAAAAAAAAAAACAAAACAAAACAAAACAAAAAACAAATTTAAAATTAAAAAAAGTTTTTAATAGGGCGAATTTAGAAGTAAAATTATTTATGGTGTATATACACATGAAATAAATCATTTCGGAGAGTTATATGAAAATGTTTAGAGAGAGTCATATTTGATAATAAATTATTTTGGTGGGAAAATTATACCGATGAAGGCCACTCGGAAAAAGATAAATTATCTATAAAATTTTCAAGCAGTTGCATATTCGAGACAAATTATTTTAATAAGAGCAGATCATTAGGAGAAAGAAGTTTAGCAAGGCACATTTAAAAACACAAGATTTAATAGTGTAAAAAAAAAACAAATGGATAGAAATATATGTAAGCTTCAATCAAAAAATGCATTTTAATTAAATATGTGTGTGTGAAAAATGTTTGAGTGAGGACACGTGTGTGAGAAATTATTTCAACAGGGGTAAATTACAGAAATGGTATCTACGAGACAAATAGCAGCTGAGGGTGCTGCTAAAAAAAGGAAGAAAAAAACTATGTGAGCAGAGAGATATTTGAGAACAATATGTAGAAAATAAAAACTGTGAGAATTACTTTTCAAAAAATAATTTAAAGTATCATACAAAAGTTATAAAACAATAAAAGACATTGGCTATTCCTATTTAAATGAAGATATATTTGAGAAAAAATATTTTTGTAAGGGCAAAGCAAAAGAAAAAGAGACTTTTGGTAGGATCTTCCTACTAGTCGGGTTAGTTTCTGACTGTTAGATATAGTCAAAATAACATCATTAAAAAAGTATGTAGAACATACAATTTTTTATATAGATTTAACGACTGAAAATATGGAATTATCAATATAAGCAATGTAGAAAACTCTCTAGTATATTATATATAATAAAATAGTTTTAAAAAGAAGGTAGGCCAAAATGCATGTTTCTTTTAATATGTAGTAAGATAAGATAAGAAAATGCATGTTTGGTCAAAGATTTTTATATATGTAGAAATTATTATAAGTCTAGCACCCAGATTAGTAGCCCCGTTTAACATCATACATACGTATGTGTACTTTTTAATTTGCCTTGGTATATATAACATTTATTAAAAATAATCCAACACATATAATATAACATTGAGTGTTAACTGAGCATACGAAAAAAATGTACACAAATGATATTACACGTACATCCAGAAAAAAATTACATAATTAGAGTGTACAGCCTGTCGACCTTAAAATTCATACACTATAACATATTTAATTATATGCAAGAAAGATTCTGATCAGGAAGAATTTCATGCAAAATCAATTAGGTACATATGAAAAAATTAATTAAAAAAATAATGTTTAAATAAGGGCACATTCCATAAGAAAAAATATTTTAACAGAACAATCAACAAAAAGGCCGATGTTCCTTAGAACTTCTATCGCACGTAATTTTTCCACGGATCTATATAAATATTACTCTTGCTAAACTCAATAATCTAATTATTTTTTTAACCACTTGAATTGAATTATTGAGTAAACATATCAGTACATATATATGCTTCCTAGCAGCGCGCGCCTATATATATATATATATAATATATATGTATATATACGTACAACGATTATAAGCACTCTTGGCAAACTCAATAATTAATGTAATAATTTTTTTTATTTGAAAATCTAATTATTTTTTTAACCTTTTAATTGAATTGAATTATTGAATAGCGTGCATTAATATATATTTATATATGTATATATACATATATCAGCACATATACATCTGTCAATAAGCGATTCTCATGGATCTGCAAGTACTCTTGGTAAACTAAATAATCTATATATAAGCACATATGCATTAATATATCAGCACGTATATACTTTCATCAAATATCAGCACATATACATCTGTCAATTTGCGATTCTGATGGATCTGTAAGTACTCTTGGTAAGCTCAATAATCTACATATCAGCACGTATGTACTTTCATCAAATATATATATATATATATATATCACCACACATACATCCGTCATGCATGCTTATCTGCATTAGTTCAGCTGATCAATCAACTTGAGTAAGTATGACAATTTCTCTGTTTTTTTTTAGTAATAATAATTACAGAAGTCAACGGAATTATCACCGCTAGTTATACATACATACATATATATCCATATTTATAATGTACATGTATAATTCGTTGGATCCACCAAATACAAGAAATTTAAGTTTGAAAGACTAAACTTTTGGTTGTTTCTTACGTAGTTTCCAAATCTATAGTCAATATTTTTATGTGAAGTACAATAAATTAGTAAATTTAAATGCATCATCACTATATATATATATATATATAGTCTGTGTCAAGGATATTTAAAGTTTAAATATTAATGCTGACTCAAGTAGTGCTGTTATGATTTTAATTTACAGCAATGTCGGATGAAATGTCCATGGCAGCATATAATATATATTTGAAAAAAAAAAAACATGAATTTTAGTTAAGAATACTAAATATGTTAATTTTCTTCTTTTGAAATTTTTATATATAATTATCAATATTGCATCATTTATACATACTTGTTAAATAACTAAAATAAAACAATGGTTACACACTAATCTAAAGTGTAATTGTCATCTGACTGAATCACGTGCAAAGTGTAGAGTTTAAATTTCTCATCTAAATCAATTAAAAAATAAAAAATAATAATTAGAATAAAACAATTTGATATGAGGATTTTTACCCTGCCTACTCAACTTAGAGCTAAAAGCTTAAATGTCTATACATATATAATATTAAATGTTTTGGATTGATTTGGTTCATCATGAAAAAAAAATATATTCAAGAAAAAGCGTGTAAATCTGTTGATTTTGGAAAGAAAAGGATACAAGTGCTATTTGTAGCTTATGGTGATGTTAAGATTGGACTTTTTATTGCTTTGTCTAATTTTCATTCACAATATTCATTTGTTTATTTTGAGATCATGCACTCTTTTTTTCTGGTATGTATTTTCGCTTTGGTTCTTCTTTCTTTTTTTTTTTTTTTTTTTTTTTTTTTTTTTTTTTTTTTTCAATCAAGAGCTCTAACAAGACATATTAGGAAAGAGATCTTTTGTTAATTAATTTGTTTGTCTTTTCTGACTCGTTTATTTTGTGTGGCCGCCGGTCTTTTGTTTAGTGACTCTTTTTCTTATTTAACTTTGAAATCTCTTTTTCTTTTTTATTAAATTTTTTTTTTTCGAGTGGGAGCTAGTGGGACGAGACTTTGTCGGTGTGGACACGTTTGTTATGTGCTAAAGTCCTTGATACTAACTTTTCCCAAATTTTCTTCTCGTGACACCCCAAAAAACAAAACAAAAAACAAAAAACAAAAACAAAAAAAGGCTGAACTATACACTAAATTCCTCCAAAAACCCTAAGTTTTAACATTAATTTTTTTTTTTTTTTCATACAAAATACATAACTGCTCAACTCAATCTTGATCACCAATCGAGATACAAATGAAGGAGTACAATATAGAGGTATCACCTCTTTCTTTTTTTTTTCTTTTCTTTTTTTTACATCTATTTCGCTCATCAACAGAAATGTAATCAGTGAGTCCTCTCAAAATCTAGTATATTACATAATGTGAAATTTTATTAACATTGCGGCATGTATGACGGACGAGGCAGCATCTTCTCTTTAGGACCATTCTTCCCGTTCTTAACAATGAACACCGTTTCCATTCCCCATACGAGATGACGATCAAAGTGACAATGCATAAACCATACTCCTGAAAAAAATAAAAATAAAAATAGAATTACAAAAAATATATATAAATGTATCATTAATTTGCTACCACGTACTTGTTCTTGACTTCAAAAATTTTGAACAAGAAAGTTTTGTAATTTGGTTGGTATATATCTTCTCAAATGTAGCTTTAAAAAAAAAAAACAAAACAAAACAAACAAGAAAAAAATAATAATAAAATAAAAAGTCAGGAAAGGTGAAAGGCTCTACTGTTCAAGGAGCACATCACCCTACCCCACCAAATATGCTTATAGTAAGGATTCTCGTGATCACATGTATGCTCAATTAGTCAGTTGAGTACTGGGCTGGCCGGGGAAAACTGTCACATTTAAGACTTTTTAAAAAGGATCACCCAGCAATTAAGTTTTTGACAATGAAACCCATCGCAATAGTCCATTATATCACGGCTAGACCACGCCACTTGGTGGAATTTTCAATTGTAGATTAAAATTCAAAAATTATTTAAAAGTGTTTAGTTAGTTATCAAACTTTGAAGTCAAAAGATCAAAATACCAATATAGTAGCGGGAGCATGCACGAATAAATGGCCAAATTATTAAACATATAAAGTTGCAGTGCATATTGAGTGAATTACCTGGGTTATCGGCAGTGAATCTTATGGTGGCCCAGCCATTTTTAGGCACAACCACCGTCTCCACAAAGGGAGGATCAACTAGATTGTAGGTCAATTTGTCCCTCGTCTCGTTAAAATTGCCAAACCCATACCCAAGGACATAAAAACTGTAGCCATGGAGATGTATGGGATGGTCTAACGCCGTGACCACAGACGTTGCTTGGAAAACAACTTCCACCGTTGACCCATAATCCACAACATTAAGCTTGGTCCCTCGGCTTGATAATTGAAGTGCAAGTGGCGAAAGGTCATATGTAAAATCAAACGCAAGTGGTGGCTTTTCTGGAAAGTCGGTTTGAAAAACACCATTTATACCATTATAGTAAGCCTCTAATATGCTTGTGGACGGTTTAACAAAGCTTATGTTGTTCATGCTGGCGGCCAGGGAAGTACCATTTGGCCCTTCACAAGTCGTGTTTTTTGTGCAAGGGAACGCGTTTATTGAAAGGGTGGAAAATATTCGGGTCGTTACGTTTTGCGGCACTTTTATTGGGTGGTCTTTATCAACTAGGCCCCTGAGCTTAGTGATGAAGTTGAAGGCGTATTTTGTGTCGCTGAACGCAGGAAAGTAAGGTAATATTGGAGGAGTACTCCGTTGGGACGGAACGGCGTCGTTTCCTTTGTATTGGAGTCTAACTGTGGTTGTGGTGTTGACGTATAGTACTCCTAAACCGCTTGAATAAACCCTAGCCGCCATGTAGTAGTGACTGGAACTGTTTTGATTGGTGGTCAATAACACGTCCATGGTTTGGCCCGAAGATATTGTGATGTACTCGGTCGTCAATGGCTTTGTGTACCTTCCATCCCATCCAACGACGGTTAGGTTGTGATTTGCGACCGAGAAATGTACAATGCTGTTCACCGTCGCTCCCACAATTCGGAGTAGATAAGTTTTGTTTTGCTCCACAAGTAATGTATCTACAAAAATACGAGTTAAAGGAGAGTTTATTGTTCATTTTTGTATTAGGAAATTTTATATATGGTCGAGTATAATTCAGATCTAAAATGAAAAGTACTTGTAACTCAGACAAAATTTAATTCAGATATAAGTCACGTTCACTTTGCGGATTTGAGCTTTCAATTCGAGCTAAAATGTGACATTTTTTAAGAGTTTTTAACTATAGTAAAAAAAGTTAGATTGACATTTTCTGAAAGCTTTTAACTGTAAAAATTCAAAACTAAAAACTCAAATCGATAAAATGAATAAGATGATAACTGTGCGATCTTGAATTATGTTAGATAATTATAGCTTTTTCTTTTCTTTAAAAAAAAAAAGTCTAAATATTTTAAGAGTATTTTATAAGCATTTAAATATAGTACCTGATTTTGAACATGGACACAGATCTCCGGGCTGACCATTTATGGTCAGAGCATCAGAAGGACTGGGCCTTCCTCCAGTCTCAAGAAATGCATCTAGTACTTCAGCTACATCTTTCTTCCACCACTCTCCTGCATTTTCAACAATCCGCATTTAATATTCACCACACAAAACCAAAAAAAAAAAAAAAAATCCATATCAAAATTACAAATATTGTATTTTTGAGGTTTTATAGAAACCAAAACGTGCAATCAAACTACCTTAGAAAAAAACATGGGATGATGTGATCTTCCGCTTAATAATGCGCATCGCATTTTGAATGTTTCAAAATAAGTTTGGTGCGTTTAGAACTCATTTTAAAATAATTTTATTTTTTATATAAAAATGAAAATGAAAACGTTTTTAATCTCAGACAGAAATTATTTTTAAAAATACATTTGGTAATTTTATCAAGAGATTATTTTCAATATAAAAAACTCATTGATGTATCTCTTTCTCTCTCTGCTTGAGAGAGAGGAGAAAATGAAAACCAAAAATAAAAAACGATTAAAAGTCATTTTTTATTTCTCTCTCATTTTACACCAAATCAAAAAATTATTTTCATTTTCATTTTTTATCTTTATTACGCCAAACGTCGTTTTAGAAACATTTTCATTTTTTCTTTCTTGAAAAACATAAAAAATAAAAATGAGATTAATTTCAAAGATGACCGTTGTTTCGATGATATTTTCCAAGATTGCTGACCAAATAATTTGACTCCCCTTATTTTCTTTTTGGAAAAGTTGATTTTTCTTAGATCCAAAATTACTACTAGTCATTTCGTGCAAGTCCATCGCACTAATGCTATTAGAAGACAGAAAAATTTATTTGAAAAAAGAAAAATAAAAAAAAAAAAAAAAAAAAAAAAAAGAAGAAGATAAGAAAGTCAAAATTAGGGGAGTTTAAAACTAAGACAGAGAATTATATCTTGAAAATATCTCACGTCTTGTTAACAGCGTATACCATAAAACATAAAATAAGGACCGTTTAGTTTAGTTCGTTGAATCGGTGAAATGCACGAAACTTAAACTTAAGATACAAAAGTAATTACAAACCTAATATGATGGGAACCTCTTTGTGAGGCTTGGGAAAGGGATAGTTGGTTCCTTTTTTCGGATAAACATTGAGAGCTCCATGAACTGTGGCTCTTGTCCAATCACTGTGTGCATGCCACCATAGAGTCCCTATTTCCGTGGAAAAAATGATCTTTTGGTTGAATTTTCCTCCGGGTTGGATTGGGCACTGAGTGATGTATTCTGGTCCATCTGTCCATGGATTTCTTGGCTGAAGTACCCCATGCCTGTGTCATTATATATTTGATTGTTCAGATTACTTTTGACTATTTAGTATGCCATATTTGGCCAAATAAATTGAAGATACATAATAATTAATGTGCCCAATTAACTAAAACAAAGGAATAAGAAACTACCAATGAATGGTGATATTTTGTGTTCCTTGGTTGTGAACCTCCACAAAGACTGTATCCCCTTGGTAAGCCCGTAAAGTTGGTCCTGGAAACATCCCATTTACCGTCAAGATATTCTTCGTGCTACAAAGTCTGGTGTATGGAGCTTCTTTAATCTGATAATTAAAGAAAAGAAAACTCGTATCACTACCCAAAATATATATATATACACTTTTAGTCAAAACTACGTGACAAATGTGCATTTAATCACAACTTTTGGTGTCAAAAACTTTTAGCTGCTGGGTTTTTAATCACGGGAAAAGTTTCGGTCACACCAAAAAATTTCCGTGGCAAAATGTTTGTCTCAACACAAATCTGTGGCTAAATGCATATTAGTCACAAGGTTAAAACTGTACTTTTAGCCCCACAAAAATGTTTTGACTAAAGATGTTATAAGAAGAAGTGACTAAAAAGTTTGTTTTCTTATACTCTGGTACCACTTGAGTGGGAGATCAGGCGCTAAGAGAACCAATTAATTAATATGTAAACTGAGGATTCCAATTAGAAGAGAGAAAAATTTACTGTACTTACAACAAAACGATACTGACGAATTGATTTGGCTTGGCAATATTCCAGGCAGAAGAAGCTGATAAATACTAGATATGATGATACAATCTGAAAGGCGCAGGTAATTCTCTTATCAAAAACCATTTTGCGATCTCAATAGACGAAAATGACCAAAAAAAAGAAAATTTCTATTCTTTTTAGTGCTCTGAGCCCCTGGCTAAATTCATAGAAAGAACTCTGAATTTATAGGAGGAGGAGGGCCAAATGAATTAGGTGGAAAACTTCAAGTGTGTAAATTAAAGTAGAATAATATACTTTTCCATGGTTGACTAGTTATTTTTTTATTTTTTTTTATTTTTTTTAATCTGATATATTTCAACATAGTTGATTCGTGAAGATATTTCCAAATTGTAAGGAATATTGTTCGTTTATATAATATTATATACGTACATAACTCTTGAAAGTAGCAAGTGGTGGAGGGAGGTGAGGAGGTCCAGCCTGTACTTTTGAGTTTTTGTCGTAACTTAACGCTGTAGCAATATTTATAAATGTTTTCTCCTGCCTAGTGTTCTTTCTATTCTTCGGTTGGGCAGATGAAAATTTAAAAAAATGATAATAAAAAAAGGAGTGCACATTCTCAAATGCGAGGAGGGAAATAGGTCAAATCACAAACTTAAAGTTCTGAAATTGTCCCTGTTAAGAAATTGAAATGAATGTCTCGTTCACTTTGCGGATTTAAGTTTTTAATTTGAGTTGAGATGTGACATTTTCTGAGAGTTTTTAACTGTAGCAGAAAAAATTAGATGTGATATTTTTTGAGAGCTTTTAACTGTAAAAACCTAAAACTGAAAACTCGAATCGGTGAAATGAACGAGGCCGAAATATTTCTCTCTCTCTCTCTCTCTCTCCTCGCTCGATCGCCCTCTTTCCCACTTGAGCTCTATCTCTCCGGAAAATTTATCATGTTTGTGCTTCACTGTCATCGTTGCACAAGCGACAGCAACGATTGCCATATCAAAGAGCTTTGCGAGGCCTCGTTGTCCTCCCATCGACAATCATCACCGTAGATCTTGCGCCGCGTCAAGATCCACGACAATCTCACATCTGTTTTGACGGGAGATCCAATGGGCCGTCGTGTTAGGATTTTTATTTTATTCGGGGCTTTCTACTAATATTGAAAGGAATTTTGAGGAAAATATAATAAGCGCGAGGTAAACATATAATCAATGATTATTTTTATTTTAATAAATTAATTATTATTTTTATCCTATGTTTGGTAGGAAGGAAAGAAAATATGATAGAAATGAAATATGGAAGTGATGGAAAATAACAATGATGGAAAGGAAATTGATTTTCTTTTATGTTGTTTGATATGAGAAGATGGAAAGAAAATGAGCTTACCTTCACTTGTTTGATATTGGAGGTTAAATTGAGAGGAAAGAAAAAATCTTACTCATAAATTACTTTTATACCCTTAAATTTTTTGCTTGGATGTTGATGGAGAAATGGGTAGTTTAGTAACTTTGCTCACTTTAATGAGTTGTCCTCATTTTCCATCCCATTTTCTGCCCACTTGTGGAAAGAAAAAAAATAGTGGGGTCCACATGTATTATTTTTCACTCCATTTTCTTTTCCTTTCTCTTTTCTCTCCTACCAAACAACCTATATTTTTATTTTTCCTCCCAAAATCCCTCCACCTTCTTCCTTCCTTCTACTTTTCTTTCCTACCAAACATACTCTAAAGAGGTAAATGATGGATTTAGCTGTACAAATTGGATCTGCGAGATGAGCTAACAATCTAAAAGTCAACATAAATAGAGGATTTTTACGTGATAAATACCAGATTAACAAGATATTAAACCCCCTATGTTTATAGTGGTAAAAAAACAGAAATCTACACATTGAAATGTGTATTTTTCAAAACCTTGAATTTTAAACTACATTTATAATTTCAGTCAACAAAAGGAGCCAAGCAAATTAACTGCTCCATTTTTATATGAAATCATTTGTCCTTGCTCTTGTGTGTCAAACTTGTGCTAATTATAGTAGCTCCATTAAACCGGCCAGTCAAACTTGTGCTACGTACTTTCATTGTCACTTAAAAAACACTTCATTGTATGGTTTTTCTTCTAATTTATAATATATTCCAACCACCAATTGAAGTGAAAGTCCACCTCGATGTTTCAATATACTTTACCTTAAAAATTTAGTCTGAAAACCAAACTCCCCAGTCCCCACTATCATTAATGTCAGAAGAATTGACATTATCAAACGCTTTTGATTTGATGCATTCAGTGGCATGTTTACACAATTGCAAGTGGATGGAGTTTCAAGTTCATCAACTTCGTTCATTTTACTTATTTAAATTTTTAATTTTAATTTTATTATAATTAAAAGTTCTCATAAAAAGTCACATTTAACCTTTTCTGTTATAGTAAAGAGCCCTTACATAAAATCACATTTCCGCTCAAATTAAAAACTCGAATGAACGAACTGAACGAAGCCTTAATTTATCCGTAGGCGTTTTATTTATTTATTTTTATTTGGAAGGTATTGACTGCCTTAGAACTATTGTAGCCAAAGCGTATTAAAAAAAATATACAGTTTGTTGATTCGAGAAGAATATTGAAAAATAAGAGTACAAGAAAACGTCGATTCATATGAATACCAGAGAACAAACAAAGTAGAGAAGGAGTTCTCTACTTTTTAATTAATTGATCATGCAAAATTAAAAAACAAAGAAGCAAAGAAAGCTTTAAATAGAATAATCTTAAATTTTCAATCTATGTTTGAATTTGAGTTCTAATTCTATTGAAACTTTAAAATAATAAATCAAACTTATAACGTAATAAAATAACTTCTAATTAAGTCCCCTGCCCGAATCTCGAAATGTCCAAAAGAATAAGTGTACTTGGAAATATTAGAAAACAATAATATCACATCTTACCAAACCAAAAGAAAAGAGGACAAGATGCACCGGCTGACATATTTAAATAGCTTTAAATTCAAATGTAGAATGTATAGCTTCCTGCCTTTTTAATTTTTTACTCTTGGATCGACTGAAGTAGAGATTGCCTTATCTTTGAAAAGTATTTATTACATTTAGTACGAAATATGGTTTTGATTGTAGAATTAAAATTAAAAGTGTTTGGAATTTATTTTAAAATGATGTTATTTTTTATATGAAAATATAAGTGAAAACGTTTTCAATCACACACATAAATTATTTTTAAAAATGTGTTTGGTAATTTTATCAAACTATTATTTTCAGTATAAAAAAATCCATTAATATATATATCTCTCTCTCTTTCTCTACTTGAGAGAAGAGAAAATGGAAACAAAAAATGAAAAATGACTAAATGTTGTTTTTCATTTCTCTCATATTTTACACTAAATTAAAAAATCATTTTCATTTATGTTTTTATCTTTAATTGTACTAAACGCCGTTTCTTTTCCGTTTTTATTTTTTTTTTCTTGAAAAACGTGAAAAATAAAAACAAAAACAACTTCAAACACCCATCTTACCTAGTGCTGGAACTTTAGACGGGCCGTTCTCTCATATTTTACACTAAATTAAAAAATCATTTTCATTTATGTTTTTATCTTTAATTGTACTAAACGCCGTTTCTTTTCCGTTTTTATTTTTTTTTTCTTGAAAAACGTGAAAAATAAAAACAAAAACAACTTCAAACACCCATCTTACCTAGTGCTGGAACTTTAGACGGGCCGCCCGCGACCGCCCGAAAAGCCCGAGGATTTACCCGAGCCCGAACCCGACCCACCCAAGATTTCCGGGCCGCCCGCCCGAGCCCAAATTTCACCTTGAACGGGCTGCGGGCCTGTATTCGGCGGCCCGAGCCCGCCCGAATTGCCTAAATTTTTTAAACTTTTTTTTAATATTAAGTTATTTATATATATATATATATTAGTATTACAATTTATATATATATTATATTTATATATATATTAAATTTGAAATGAACACACGAACTATATAAAAAAATTATTTCTTTATTAATTTTTAAATTTGTAATTCATGATTGCCTCATTAAAAACCTTACCAAGAAAAACCCAATTGGGATAAAAACTTGGCAAGGAAAAAAGAGTGCAATCATTTTGTGACGAATTACAAATTGTACAAACTTACATTGTTTATTAAATTACAAATACAATGTAAAAAGTAAATACATATTTACAAATTACAAATTTACAATTTAATTTGAAGCTAAGGGATCATCTTCAAAATTAAATGTTAATCGATTAAATTCATCGATCCATTCTTGGCTTACCGGTGAAATTGTATCTTGTAGACGTTGATCGGCCCGATCCCAATCCTTAATGCAAACCAAGGCTTCAACAATATCCCTTTGCAATGCATTCCGGCGTTCCTCAAGTATTCTTCCTGTCGTACTGAAAGCTTGTTCGGATGAAATAGTGGAGACTGGGATCGAAAATATATCCATTGCCAATCGAGTTAGGATTGGCCAAGTTAATGCCCGTGCCCTCCACCATTGAACTAAGTCAAACGATT